TATTCGAATTGTAAAGGTGAGAACGAATGTGAAAACGAATCAGGTTATAGTTCTGCGACAAGGTTTAATTATAACAACGAATGAAAATGTAGTATTATCATATATGTATATAGATGGTTTTATTTCAAAAAATAGGTAGAGTGAAATATCTGTTGAGGAAAGAAGGAATTATGGAAAAAAATGTTTCTTCAGAAAAGTATATTTGGTATAAAAGTATATATTATGATATGTAAGATATTAAGTTTTTAATTTTAATTTTTTATTATATGTTATTTTTGCATTTGCATTATATATTATATTTGCATTATGCAAATGCATTAATTGGAAAGAAGTATTGAGTTTATTTATGTTTATTTATGTCGAAAATTATTTATGTCGAGAAATCGGTATTTTTAAAAATATTGTAAGGTGAAGATTGAAGATATTGCGTGAAAAGCAAGGAGAGCATAAATAGTGAATATGACGCTGCGTTTTTTCCTTGTTTTTCATATAATAAGTTTATAAACTTTAAGTTATAATATAAAAGATACTGATACTTCGAGATGAATAATTAATCCTGTTTGCTTTTATGTCCAGTGTACATGAAAATTATATTATTTAAAAGCTATTTAAAAGCTTCAAAATAACTTAATATCTTTCGTAATATAATATCATAATATGTGTTATATAACGTGATATATGAGGAAATAAATATTTTGATATAATCAAAATTTCTTTTTAAAAAAGAAAAAAAAAGAATCATATTAATATAATAAATTCTTCATGGCATGACACTGTAATATCGATGCCATAAAAATTACATTTGTATTCTAGAAACTATTGAAATTTATTGAATGATGTAATAAAAAATATAGAAGTTTATTTAAATTTTACAGCATTTATTGCTAGCTGCATATTCCTCAAACCATAAAAATAGATAGAATAAGAGGCATCATACGTTGAATTTCTTTACAATCGTGAATAAACATCTTGCGTGCATCCAGTCGCCGAATTTTTCAATTTTTTTTTCATTTCTTCTCATCTCTTAAAAGTTTCATGGTCATTTATCCATATTCTTAAAAATATTGCCGACTTAAAAGAAAGTTTTTTTTAATTTGAATTTTTATTTTTCATTCTCGATAAAATCTTTGGCATAAAATTAAAAAAAAAAAAATTTTCGATTACTTTTCTTTCGGAAATAAATTAATTTGTTGTTTTTTATAAAAATTTCTTTTTAAAGAAATTTTTTAATAACATAAAATTGTACAATTTAATTGAAAATAATTTTAAAAAGCAAAAGGAATATTAAATTTTGAAACAAATTTCTCAAAATGATAATTTTTTAAAAAATAATTTCTATCAAATCTAAAAAGAGAGAAAATTTAAAAAATAGACTTTCGTTAGGAACTCTATTTTTTAAATATTTAACTATTACGATGAATAAATAACCCAAATGTTGTTAATAAATCTGGTCAATGAAAATTGTTTCAATTTTTAATATTAGCACAATTATTATTATAATTGTAACAATATGATACAAGTAAATTTTTTTAAATAATTTATAGGATAATATAAAAGAAAAAAAATTTTTTTAATCTACATAAATTAAAAAATTAATTCAAAATTATATATAATTTAAGAAAAAAATAATACATTTATCTTATATTTTATTATAAACTTTTTTGAAATATAATTTTATTTACGATTTATTTTAATAATATGCATTTAATTTTATCGTTGAATCAAAAAAATAAAAAATATAATCAAAATTATAAATCATTTCTCGATTAAATATATATCGTTACGAGATTTGTATACAATACGGAATGGCACGAATCGAGGCACGAGAAATGACAACAAACGGTTGTCATTTATATCGATTTAACGGAGTCGTGTTTCG